ACAAGGTACCTGTTATAACAAGGTAATTTGTAAAGTCCTATGGACCTTGTAATAAATATTGGTGTTCTCAATACTCGCCCGTCGGCGCCATTTTGTCATTCTTAAAGTACAGTCACAGAAAATGTACTGCTTTCATATCCCCCAAGTTTTGTTATCCATTCATATTGCCCGAGGAACGTTTTCAAATTACCGTTGAACGCCTATTCAGACGGAATTGCAAAAGATTCAGTTGTACGGTTTATACCCATGGGGTCTACCAAACTATCCGAAAATTAATTGCGAGTGTCCACCTTTGAACACACAAAAGGTCAACATGAACATTATTGCCTCACTCTCGGTGGTCAGACTGACAAGAGGACCCAACTGATACCAGGGCACGATGCCACATCCAATCATATTTCACTGTGAGTCTTTTCACGAGCTTTTTAAACGGTTATGCATGATAGACTACGTAGTGTTCATTTTTAAAGGAAGTTTGGTCTTCCGTTTCTTTCTTTGGCGTAATGTTATAATGTTAGCGTTCAGTCATCGTTAAAATTCAGTCATCGTTAAAATACATATATATCGTGGAGTTATTACTGTTACTACACTATAAATGTTTCATGATGGTATGCTGCCTTCGATGTAGTTTTTCGGCCGTTTGGATTCTTGTATAACTGTATGGCGTACATATTGCTCTGCTTTGGTTGAATAACGCACAATATATCCATGTTATATCCAAACCACTGCCGGATAATACTTCAGCACCATTGTACACTTTGCTCAAAGGGAATAACACTATCGGTGGAATATAACATTCAATACACAGAGTGTATGCAGTCAAAGGACTTACTTCTTCGAGTTAATTATTAGAAGATTTATTATTGTTGATTGTAAAATGGGGGATGAGGCGAGTTGTGATTTGTTTCGAGCCCTCAGCGTTTTAAAGTCAAACCTTTGGTATTATATATGGCTTGCAAATCAATTTTTACCTTACTATGAAATTAGTGATCTCTTCAAGACCAACCTTTCGTTCAAGTATGGTTCACTTTGATCATTCCAATGATAAATCCTTTGAATAAAATTGGGTAATTTGACAGTACTCCGTATGGAAATGAAATTCACAAGTCTGCATAATTATTGTAGTGAAATTATGCAATTGACCTTTCATTATTGCTTTAGAATGTCCAGTAGCCTCCAGATTGACACAGGGAAACCGAGGAATTCCAACGATAAAGCCCTAAAACCACTTACTAAAATCAAGGTGGAACCGCGTTAACTATACGGTACACATCGGTGTTCGTGCTCAGTTTCATAGCCAGACATACTGCAAACTGACCAGTCGCCACAATGCCCTGAAATCTGCTTTATGTCCGATGCTTATCAGTCGAATGGAGAGTAACTGGAATGCTGAAAACAGCGATCCATCGAAAGCAAAAATGGTAACTACTCTCGTGCGGCATTTTGTCTAACTTTAAGTATACGTTCTGACGTACTGTGTTTTGTTATACCTCAAATCGCTGCACTTCATGAACTTAACCTCAAAAGTGCATTCCAGGTTAAACACTAATTACTCTTTGGCATTTGAATATTTATGCCTCTATACCTTGCACAATGCATTTAAGTGGTACTCAAGACAGTCATTGCCTATTCGACAAATAAAAGACGTTTACTAGATTTAGTTTTTGTGATGTTAAAAAACGATCTCTTATTGAATTCGACTATCAAGCAGTTACCTCTGACTTAACCTAAACCTATCGGTTAATAGACCAAGTCCTAATGACGTTATGGCTTTGTTTGCATATGCGCTTAATTTCCTATGGGAGCGAAGTCGGGACGCCAGACAAAGTAGGGACCGTCTGACGCATAGGAAAGCGCACATGTAAAGAAAGCGTGACGTCATTAGGTCCCAGGCCTATTGAACTGTGGTCAGCGAAACACCATATGGATCACTTAACTATTCAATAACAAGTGTATTGAATAAAAGTATGGTAATTTGTGTTAAATTAACTGCAGGGCCTACTCGTAAGGCAACAAATTCATGTAATTATGCACTTATCTGCATAATCATCAAAGTGGATTATGCAGTTGATCTTTAATTATTGAATTTTAATGTACAGTATCTTTCAGTTCAGTAAACCTCCAGATGTGGACACATGGAAACGGATTAGTAGAACTCTCTGCTCTGGTCAGCGTGCCTTCGCCAAGGCAGCACCTGCCATTTTTGAATAAAGGCTCCCTGTCCTGACTAGACAGTCGTGAAATAACATCCCTGGACATCTTGAAAAGAGAGTTGAAATCCCGTTAACTTCACTAGTTATTTCTCTCAGACTTCGAACTATTTGTCCGTGCTTGGTGTAGGCGCCTTGATCGTGTTTTTTGATAAGTGCTGTGATGCCTTCGAATTCAGTGAAAATCGAAGCTCATCACCACACAAACTTCACGTTATATAGTGGTAAACGTTATTACCATTTTGCAGTAGGAATACATGCAGTCATATCTGAGCTAGTGCTTCAGACTGCTCCCCCCTTCTTGATAGTATCCAACAACGAGCTATTAATTTGGTCGGACTGGACCAGGCATCACCCCTAGAACCTCAAGGTCTGTGGCAACCTCGTTCCCCATGTGTACGATCTCGCTGTGCGCCATGTTGGTTCCCATTACCGAGGCTGCCGTGCGCGATCCTGTTTGCTCCACAAACAAAAACTATACATATTTTCTAGATTTTCTTAGACTAGTGTTTCCTTAAGCAGACCGGCAGCTGAACCCCTTTGAGAACATTCCAGATCTGCTCATGTTAAATGGACATATTTGGCGCGGTTTCCGAAGGAAGCTGTCCCCACACACACCAATCATGATTTAAACCGTAGTCGCTGCTAATTTACCTCCAATATGCATTGGGTTGTCATACAAACTCTTCTATGATTAACCGTTCTGTCAGATAATGCAGTACAACGGGTAATTTGAGGACGTTCTTCACGTTCCTAATTATTTTAATGTATAGCACAATTCAGGTAAATGCATTTCGCTTCAACAGGGGCCACATTAACGAGAGACACACTACATGTGAATGTAAAATAGCGGCACATTCTATGTGACTAAAACTTTAAGAATGACAAAATGATGGATAATCTGACGGACGAGTTAGAGAACACCAATATTTATTTAACATTTTGGTGCACATCGAGTTTGACCTCCACCACAGTATAATTGTATGTATTAATAAACGTTTATTAATTTTAAATGGTGAGTTCGTTTTAATTTGATGAATTAGTTTGAAATTAAATATTAAATTTAATATATTAAATAGAATACAACCAAGCAACATGATGGGAAACACCAATGACGATGTGAAAGAAAAACGTCCATCGTAATTATGCTTCAATAAAGAAGAAAAAAATTGTAACATTTCTCTTAAGGACGTTGCTTTAAAATTAGAACCCAATACGTATAAATGATTAATCACAATATGTATCTTATCTACTCTAATTCTATATATCGGTATGTGCTGGTTTATTTTTTGTTGTTTTCCTTTGTGTTTTTATTTACCTAGTTATGTAAAGAGATCATTTTTTTTCGCGAGAGGGGCACTGCTGCTTTTGATGGCCAGTTTAGTGACAATTTTCTTCACGTGAAGAGCAGTACTGTTTTTAGGGGCCAATTTTCAATCTTGAGAGGGGCCACAATTTTAATGTCGCGAGCGGGGCACTATGCTTTCGAATGGCAGTTTTCCATCTCGAGAAGTTATAGCGAGAGGAGCACTATTGTTTTTGATGGTACATTTTCCTTCTCGAGAGGGGCACAAGTTCATTATTTCGAGAGCGGTATTTGTGCTTTCGAGGGGTAGTTTTCCATCTAGAGCTAGGTGCACAATCTTGTTAATGCGAGAGGGGTACTTCTGTTTTGAGGGGAAGTTTTGCATTACAAGAGAGAAGACAAATGCAATTGTAGCGCGATCATTATGCTTTCATACCTGTACGTTCGAGGGGCAGTTTTGTTTTCATTTCGAGGGGGCACATTTGTAACTCTAAGAGGGGCACTTTTGTTGGCCTGGGAAAATCTGGGGGGGGGGGGAATGCCCCCATAACCCCCCCCCCCTTCCGCCGCCTCTGCGCCAGTGTATATGCTGTAATGAACATCTCTGAATCCATCCAATATGCGGATTATCTATTATCCATTAAGTGGAAATGAGTATCGAAATAACTACATGAAACAAAGGACAAAAAAAAACCCGTTTGTTAAATCTCCCATACTTATGTAGCACGATAATTGGTATCACATTATTGTTTCATAGCGTAGCCTATAATTTGCACTTTAATTCCCCAAACTATCCCACTTAAGCAATAGTAATAAAAGTATGGCCCCTTTATAATTCGCCAAATATGACCCTGATGGGGCCGAATATGTCAAACGAGCAGAGTCGTAATCCAGTCACAAGCCGATCACAAGTCAAATCACAAGTCGCAGACAGCCTGTTTGGTTATTAGTAAACGGACGTTTTTGATAATATCTGACCCACAGTAATTTAGCGTGATCGGTAAGCTCTACATACTGGTTGTCCCACAAAAAAAGCCTATCAGTCGAAAACAAATTAATAAAGGTATATTGCAGGTGAGTTTTTGGAATATTTTCAAATTATCTTTGTAACAAACGCTATGCTTTATCAAACTTAAGGGTTGAACTTAAGTTTGGCCAGTTTGGAATCGACTATCTGCAAAGTCCAGGTTAACGTCTTCGATAGGCCACAAAAAAAGTCTCCGGTTTCTGGTATGCGCGCGCGTCGCCGTAGCCTTGCGCGTCGGCAAAATGAAAAAAGAGTTTTTTTTCAATAAAAGATGATGTCTCAAAACCGCCAAACTCACTGGTTTGACTGAAATCCTGCTGCAGCACAATAGAGAATAAGCTTTATGTGGCCTCTGTGGACTGACTGGACTCCCATATATTTGCACTAAGTTTAGTCGGGCACCATTTTGCAGCATCAACCAACATAAGAAGCAGAAAAAAAATAGGTAAAAAAAAAAGCCGCATCGCCGCACCACTTTTTGGGCAAGCTCCATACTAGAAACCGGAGACTTTTTTGGCCTTATAGGAAACGGGGCTGATTTTTGCTGATCTTAGCAACCAACGCTCAAGGGCGGATCCAGAACACAATTGTTTTTTTTTTGGGGGGGGGGGACGCCAAACAAATTTTGGTCTTCCAAAAAGTGTCTCGAAAAAAAGGCGGCGTGGGTTTCGGGGCCCGCTTATTAAGGGCCCAGAAAAAATTGGATTCTAGATGCTCTGTGGTGCAATCTGAGGCTATTTCTAACCACTTAAACTAAATCTTTAGGAGGAATAGATGGTGGTGTACGCAGTGCCTGCCTTTGATGCGACGCCACTTTAAAAAAATTGTTTTGTTTGGGCCCCCTGGATCCGCCCTTGCCAAGGCTTATATATAATATGTGTCGCCTATGTTGTGGCCTTCGGGTTAGGTGAACAGACAATCGGCAATGGTAGAATTTGTGTGGGCCGGGAAACCCAAAAACAAAAAAGGGTCCCACGGAAGTCGGCAATAATTTCAAGTTGAATTAATAAATTCGACTCCAGTATGTTTTGTCTACCGCACAATTGCTTGCTATGACTTGTGATGACTTAATCATTGATTACAACCATGCAAACTAGGGCAGGCAAAACAGCATCTGCTGACCGCGTACTTCGTCGTCGTAATAGTGACTTTCATGCGTTACGACGGCAAGAGGCTTAGCGCAATCTTCGGGTACGGAGATATCATCAAAGATGTTTTCGTAGCAAATGGTGTATCTCCATGAGTGGTCGTAGTCCCAACTGGCTTCGGAGTAGGCGGATTCGCACCACCGATACTTTCCAGCTAGGTCGTCTGGAGATTACAGAGAAAAGAAAGAAGTTGGTTAACAATTAGCCAGCGAATTAATGTCAATAGTATGCCCATAATGGGCTCGATTTTTCCTAGAGCGATTCCGGTTTCATTTTCTAAGTAGTCCATATTCCAATTCTTCTGAGGATTGCAACTTTGTCATTCTGGAAGGGTTTGTGTGTCCCCTGGATGCAAAGGGGTCCGCTCATACCTACTAAGTCCAACCCCTAATAAGTCCGACGCCTCATAAGTCCGAAATTTCGGACTCATGAATCGTCGGACTTATGAGGCAAACAATTTATTTATTCCGCCTCATAGGTCTGACGCGTCATAGCTCCGACGCCTCATAAGTCCGAAACAGCGTTTGTCCATTGTCGGACTTATGAGGCGTCGGACCTATGAGCTGAATTTATGCCTCATAAGTCCGAAATTTCGGACTTATGAGGCGTCGGACCTATATGAGGCGTCGGACTATACGACCCAATCCAAAGAGCGGTGTCGTCGGAAGTCTAAGTGCTACTGGCAGGGCCGCCCTAGGTATTAAGGTTGAGGGGGGAGGAACCAGACCAAAAGCAATCCAAAAAATGTAATATAAGGATACCGCCCAGTTGAAATAAAAACGAGGCTGTTGTGTTTGCAAAGAAATGGGTCCTTCCAGTAGCCGCGAACTTGCTAACACATCGATTCCCCAATAAACCCAGTGTAAAGGAACCAATGCGCACTTACCTTGAGAAAAGGTCCATTCTCTGGATTGTCTTCCTTCTTGGACACTGACCTCGAGTTGGTAAGGGTCCTTCGTGTATTCGACAACTGCAAAGAACAACCGCAATATTTACATGGGCTTTATTTTACAGAAAACTTGCAATACGGCTTCTATAAACGTTGGTGGCAATATATCCGGGTTACCAGGCCCGGATTACTTAACAGGCACAGTAGGCACTGTGCATAGCATAGGGCCTACGAAAAATTTGGGGGCCTACGAAAAATTTGGGGACGGCCTACGAAAATACCGCAGTGTGCCATAAAACATATAGGCCTTCCCACACACACCCACACGCGCAGATAAAAGTTTTATTTTACAGAAATCTTGCAATACGGCTTCTATAAACGTTGGTGGCAATATATCCGGGTTACCAGGCCCGGATTACTTAACAGGCACAGTAGGCACTGTGCATAGCATAGGGCCTACGAAAAATTTGGGGGCCTACGAAAAATTTGGGGATGGCCTACGAAAATACCGCAGTGTGCCATAAAACATATAGGCCTTCCCACACACACCCACACGCGCAGATAAAAGTTTTATTTTACAGAAATCTTGCAATACGGCTTCTATAAACGTTGGTGGCAATATATCCGGGTTACCAGGCCCGGATTACTTAACAGGCACAGTAGGCACTGTGCATAGCATAGGGCCTACGAAAAATTTGGGGGCCTACGAAAAATTTGGGGACGGCCTACGAAAATACCGCAGTGTGCCATAAAACATATAGGCCTTCCCACACACACCCACACGCGCAGATAAAAGTTTTAAGAAAGTTTAAGGGTCTCTCTCGGAATTTTCGATTTCACCAACTGACGCTGTACAGCATGTATGCGTTGGCCCTACGTATAAAATGTACGTGTAAAGGCTGTCGTTCAGAAGCACGGTGCCAACCATGGGCGTCGATCGGAGGGGAACGGGGGACTGATGTCGTTCCCCAACGATTTGCGTCCCTGAATAAAAATATGTAACCTAAATTTGATTCTATAGCTCGGAACAGCTGATTTAATGACTCCAAACTCGAAAAAGATGTTTAAATGATGATCTTGTGCCAAAATGCAGTCGTCAGAAATTGCCTCGGATCGCACCATAGGGCGCCTAGAATCCATGTTTTTTCAGGGGCCCTTAAGCGGGCCCCGAACCCCGCGCCGTTTAGGCTTCGCACTCGCACAATTATTAGTACTGATCAAGATACACATGTATGTACCATCCCCACTTTGAGAAACATAAGACGCCCTCGAGAATTGGAGCCAACAGGCTTTTAGAGCTAGGACCAATAACAGTTTGGCCTGGCTTGTTTGAATTATACAGCCCCCCCCCAACAAAAGTGTGCTCTGGATCCGTCCTTGTACCCCCACTCCCAATAGGCCTAATCTATAGCCACATATTTTTATTATGTGGTTTTTGAGACAGGGACATTTTCCGGTTCGCGCATTAACAAGATTGTGAACCTTCTCGAGATGAAAGCTATCCCTCGAAAACACAGGTGTTAGTAAAAATTATACTCGCTTGTTAAGCACACAATGCGATCCCAATTTAGATCGTTCAGTCGCCAAAGGTTCATGGATTTGCTTTGTTTCATCTCAAATTTCTTTTTATGACCATAGACTTGAGTCAAGGCGTATGGCAACCCGGACACGAAAAAAAGACCATGCGAGTGGCAGGCCCGTTGAATTGGCTCAGTGCGCCGTCATCAGGGGCGTAATTCCCGGGGTGGGGGTGGGGTGGGGATATATACCCCCTCACGTTTTGACCGCGGGGATGGGCTATTGAATTATTCCCCACTTTTCTCCTGATGAGGAAACAATGAGGATTTTGAGGTATTTTCCGAACGTCCAAGTAATAAAATGTATACAATAGTACTGGAAAGTGGAGAAACAAAGTACAAAAAGCTTTCAAAAATGTAAGCGCGAGTATACATAATTGATAACGAGCGTCCCAGTATATTGTGGTGTCCAGCCCTCCCCCCCTTTCGAAAGCCCACGGCCGGGCAATTCGGGCGTTTCATGTGCCACCAAGAGTTTGCCACGGAAAGTTAGTTTTTCCTAGTGCATTGTGGGTGTGGGAGATGGTCGACAAATTCGCAGCGCGGGACATTTGAAATTATTAGTTTTTTTCCGGTCAGTAGTTTCGTAAGCGTATGATTCAAGTATAAATTTGCCTTTTTTTTCCTATGTACCAATATGGTGTTTTTAGTAAGGCGGCCAGAACGCTATACCCGAATTTACAACCACTTAGCTTAAGTAACTTAAGGCCAAAAAAAGGTCTCCAGTTTCTGGTATGCACGCGCGTCGCCGTAGCCATGCGCGTCGGCAAAATGAAAACGTTTTTTTTTCAATGAAAGATGATGTCTCAAAACCGCCAAACTCACTGGTTTGACTGGAATCCTGCTGCTGCACAATTTTAACGTGTTTTTAGATGGGGTTATGATAGAGAATAAGCTTAATGTGGCCTCTCTGGACTCCCATTTGCACTAAGTTTAGTCGGGCACCATTTTGCAGTCATCAACCGACATTTGAAGCAAAAAAAAATCAGGTAAAAAAGCCGCGTCGCCGCACCACTTTTTGGGCAAGCTCTATACCAGAAACCGGATACTTTTTTTGGCCTTATATGACACTCATTCAAATCGGCTTTGTTTTGTCGACCGTAATTTCAAAAACTGACCCTCCATGGCAAACATTTGATGGCGCATTGCGTTGTGAATAGCCCGAATGTTATGATTTTGGTCATCCCCCATCCCCCCACCACTCGCAAGCACAGATATACGCCACTGGCCGTCATTGCCCTCGCGTGGTCACGATTAATCATGCCACCGACTGACGTTAATGTGACATTGTATTATAATGGCATCATTCCCTAGACTAAGCGTAAGTACAAGAAAAGATGAAGTTTCCCAAGCTAGCTAAGGGACTGAAATAGAATCAGACTACCAAAAATCCCTTGTAAAAATTTGTAAACGGGTTAGTAGTTTGATATAAATATAATTAGGTTGGGTAAACTTGCTAGAATTTCTCTCAATCATAGTGACATGTCAGTGCCAGCCGAAAGACACGCGACGCGAAATAATAATTGATGAGACAGAATAAGAACGAGCTTGGTAAGGTTAATTGCTCGTAGTGACTGAATAGTCAACTGCTCGGTACATAAGAATGATTGCAGAAAAGAGTTACGTAACAGCATTTATGTATATAGCACGATGCCGATGCATCTTTCGTGCAGCTATGAAACACAAAGTAACCCTCCCACTGCGGAAATAACGATTATGTTTTTATACGCAAAGAGAAAAGTACTTACTGAAACAGCCTAGTTGTTAAGCTGTCAGACAACGGACCCAGGGTTAGGGGTTCGAACCTGCTTGGTGTCATTTTTTTTGGTTTTCGATGCCCGCGGTTCTGTCATTTAAGAGTGTTAATTTCCCGTCGTCATTTACCAACAGCAGTTAGCTCGGTCGGTCGGTAAGCTGACTCACAAGCTGGGACTGTCTGCGAAGTCCAGGTTGGCATCTGCGTATAGGTACGGGGTTCTTTTGCTGACTCGGCAGCAAGGCTTAGGGTGCCACCTCGTTTCCCCCCTTTATGGTGCCTGACTTTCGAGGTACATGGATGGACAGGGAAGGAGGTGTGGTGTACCGAGTGCCGGAAGAGTTCTATATGGAAGTCGGTTAGGGTCATAAGTCCGACTCCTGAAGACTTGGCCATCGCCACATAACTTTTTGTTTTATTTTATTTCCTTTCTTTCGGAGGACAATATTGCAAGAATGATTAATTTGTTATATTGAGAGCTGGTACTGTAATCGTTCGAAAATAATGTTTAAAATTGTTCGAAAATACAAAATTCAATCCAGCTAAAATATTTTTTATTTCATTATCGCACAACTGCATGTTCATGCTTAGTACCTTTGCGCATACCTTGTTCTGGCCTGTTACCTTTAGTGGATTTTTTTTTTAAATCACTCAACAGGGTGACTAGAAAAAAAAACGAAATCCAAATGGCAGGACCAATTTTTTAATGCAGTTTTGCTTGTAGCACTTTTAAAATCTAGGATATGAAATCCCAATCAATAAACTTTCTGTTAGTACAAGAATAATTAAAATCTCATGTACTTTTCACGTTACAGAATTCGGAACACAAACACCGTTTTAAAGTTCTGTCCACGGATCACAAAAAAGTTAAGCATTCTTCCAGCAAAACCAAAACAATTCACATGCATCCCTATAAAAATTGCGTTCGTTTGCTGAAAAAACACCGGTGTTACCTTTTTTTTGTGATCCATGGACAGAACTTTTAAACGGTGTTTGTATTCAAAACTCTTGAAAAAAAAACTCGAAAAATTACACGAGTGATTTCAATGATTCTTATTTTAAATGAAAGCTTATTGATTGGGTTTTCATATCCTAGATTTTGAATGTGCTACAGGCAACTTGAACTTCATACAAAAATTGGTTCTGCCATTTTGGTTTCAGTTTGTTGTACTCACCCGTTACACGGACAGATTTATGTTGCCCGAGGCTTGATTAACGTCTCTATGAGTTACGTACCTGTTAAGAATTCCTGTCCAAAGAGGGGAATTATGACACAGTGTTGACACACATCCTCAGCGTCGTTGCATGTCATATTGATGCGACTGAATCCCTGATTGGCGGTGGGAAAATCAAAGAAAGGGAATGTAACTTTCTTTTGTTGGGACTTTATACGTTAGACAATATGCGGCAGGAGAATACATGTACAGGGTGAGTCAAAAACAGAGGAACCCAAACCCCCCAAAATATGTTTCATATTAAAAAAAAAAAAATGCAGCACCAAAAATAGTAATGACTGAAAAGCCAATTTCATAAGCTACTTTTAGATGAAAAAAATACTGAAACTATTTAATCCGTTCAAATAATATCACCATTTAAACGCAATAAACCTAAAACCTGTTTCGTCCCAAAAAAAGGGCAATTTATTGTGTATTCTGACTATTTGGAACAACAAAGAAAACTTGTTTCAACAACTGTCAACAACTGTAGTACACAATATCTTTATTAATGACCCTTGTTAGGCAAAACATAGTATTTTTAAAATCCACTTTTTTAAAAGACGGGCCTTCAAAAAGACTCTGTGTAATATTTTTTTACTTTTCAACTGAGGTTTTATCGCTGGTGATGTTTGAAGACAATTTGGACGACGATTCTTGAAATCGCTTTTTTTGACGAAAGAGGTTTAAGGGTCATTGTGTTTAAATGGTGATATTCTTTGAACGGATTGAGCAATTTTAAAAGTAGCTTATGAAATTGGCTTTCCAGTCAGTATTATTTTCGGTGCTACATATTTTTTTTTAAATATGAAATATAGTTTTGGGGGTTTGGTTTCCGCTTTTTTTGACTCACCCTGTAGTTACCATTTTTGCTTTTGATGAATCGCTTTCTCCGGCATTCCAGTTACTCTCCACTCTACTGACGACAAGCATCAGACATGCAAGCAGGATTCGGAGCATTTTCGCGACTGATCAGTTTAACAGCTCTGGCCAAATTGTATGTGAAACCTGAGGACCATGCACCGATGTGTATCGTATAAATGCTGTTTATTAATAACTCAATAATTTATGAGTCGGTGTTGTTTTTGCATTAATATGCAAATGTAAACGTCTTTTATTATATTTGTCGAATAAGCAATAGCTTTCGAGTAATTAAATGCCATTCAAGGTAATACATCTTCAAATGCCAGGTACTTTGTTCTTCAGTTCCAATGAACTGTTTTATGTTAATATAATAATAATTTGGGAGGCTAATCATCCTTACTCGCAGCTGGTATGCTGAATTATGCTGGTATGCTACAACGTGGTCGGGCCGCTGGCACGTAAAGGCGCCTATGGCTGCCGGCCACATCGCACAAGCCACCCATGCCACCCAAAGTGCAAGAGGTGCAGCGGTGGGCATATACTCGAACCGAGAAACATACTACACCAGAATATCCTACATATTAAAGTTTGTCATACAATTAAGCGCTGTCAGATGTAGGGCGCCTTCGCTCGTACCCCCCCCCCCTCCTGCAAACAGGACGCTGGGAAGGGCTGATTTCTTCGAGCTCTCATGGGATAGATTTTGCGTGACCTGTGACGTAGCATGCAGCGCTGCTGATGAGCTACCCATAATGCCATGCGTACTTCCTACACAAGATTCTGTGAAGCGGCATCAGCCCTTCCTAATGTCAGAGAAAAAAGTTGCCGATTACATTTCACTATAGCCCCACACGCGATCTCCGTGTGAGATGCATATTGTCCATCATGTTTCCAGTGGAATAACATAGCTGTACTGCAAAAATTGTGACTTCAGTTTTTTTTTTCCCCATAGGATTCAGAATATTTACTTACCCGAAATTATATTACAGTGTTTGAAATTACCCGGTCTGAAATGTCCCGGTCTTCAATTTCCACACTGGCGTAATATGACCGAGTAATAATTATTAATAAATGATTTATAAACCTACTGACAAAGTCAGTGAACTAGCACACCATTTACAAGCGTGCATGTAGGGCAAACTTCTGTAGGATATTATTATTATATTAGTGAGTGCTGCAATCAGAACCGTGATTGGTCAAAACATCAGGCCCGGATTAGGTGTTTCGTAGGCCCTAGGCACCAGTGTTCCGTAGGCCCTACTCCGCTCTAGCCACCGGCACCAAATTCAAGGTACAACGCACTGTACAAATCAGGCCAGGACCCGGGTCCTAGCTCTAAAAGCCTGTTGGCACCAAGGGCGTCAATTGCTTCTCAAAAGTGGAGGTGGCACTGTCTCTTGATCAGAACTAATGCGAGTGCGAAGCCTAAACGGCGTGGGGTTGGGGCCCGCTTAAGGGCCCTGAAAAACCATTGGATTCTAGACACTCTGTGGTGACATCTGAGACAATTATGACCACTTTAACCAACTTTTGTTTAGCAAAAGAACATCATCATTTTCGAGTTTGGAGTACTTAAAACCAGCTGTTCTGAGCTATAGAATCAAAATATGAAGTTTACAATGTTTTATTCGGGGACGAAAATAGCTTGAAGACGACGACATGCCCCTCCGTCCCCCACCAATCGACGCCCATGGTTGGCACCGTGCTTCAGAAGCACAGACTTTACACGTACATTGTATACGTAGGTCATGTATGCTTACGTGATGTACATTTTACGGCGCCGCGCCAGTTGGTGAAATCGTTTTTTAAAACTGTGGGTGTGGGTGTGTGTGAACGTATAAACACTGCCTTATATGGGGTACCGGAACAATGGAAGGTACCCCACAAGGAATGCCCACCGACTTGCGGGGTACCATTTTGGTACCCACAAGTTTTTCACGAAATAGATATATGGATTTTACTCAAAAACTAGGAATTTCCAAGGTGGGTTGATTGGTCGCTAATGGAAGAGTTTTAGAAAAGGGATATTAAGTCCGAATTTCAGCCCAGGAAATTAATTCTGTTAAAATAAGAGCATTTTGAAATTAGTGTGCGACATTTCAAAATTTTAGTACACGAGAACAAAGGAAGTACCCCACTTCTATGCCTGTGTAAGCGTGGGTGCGGGTATATATAGGCCTATAATTAATTTTATGGCACATTGCGGTATTTTCGTAGGCTCCCGAATTTTTCGTAGGCCCCGGATATTTTCGTAGGCCCTAGACACAGTGCCTACTCTGTGTCTATTGGATAATCCGGGCCTGCAAAACATCATGGGCGTGGCTTGACTGAGGGAGCGGTCTATTTCCCAATGGGACATAAACAATAATGTGCCTACACGCGTACTGTTTTGTCGCAGTGCAAGTACAGTGTGAGTATAAAAAATGAAACACAAATGGCAGGACCAATTATTTAATTAAGTTCTGCATGTAGCACTTTCTAAATGTAGGATATCAAAGCCCAATCAATAAGCTTTCGTTTAGTACAAGAATCATTCAAAACACGTATGTGTACCTTTCATGTTATATACGGAATATTGAACACAAAAACCGTTTTAAGGTTATTTCCAAGGATCACAAAAAGGTAAATGTTCTTTCATCAGCAAAACGAAAAAAATCACATAGGGATGTGTGTGAATTGTTTTCGTTTTGCTGAAAGAACACTTACCTTTTTTTGTGATCCGTGCATGGACAGAAGTTTAAAACAGTGTTAAAATTCTGTAACTTATATATGCTCCTGAATTTGGGTTTTCTTTACCGAAAAACTCTTATTGGCATGTATATTTAGCTATCCACGATATGAATCACTAAATCATTGCAATACTAAATCTTTTGAATAAGATTATGGTAATTTGCTTTAAAACCCCCCCCCCACAAAGTACAATGGACTTGTGTGGAGACAAATTTATAACTCTGTGTAATAATCGCAGTGAATTATGCAATTGCCCTTCAATTATTGTATTAGAATGTACAAGTAACTTCCAGATTAACACAGGGAATTCACAGACAAGCTACGCTGATATAGCCCTTTAATCACAAATAATTTATGCCAGTAATTCTTTATAAAAAAATCAAGCTGGCCCAGCATTTATACAGTACACATCGGTGTTAGGTGCTCAGTTTTCATATGGCCAGACTTGTTATCTACTGATCAGTCGCCAAAATGCTCCGAATCCTGTTTTCATGTCTGATGCTTATCAGTCGAGTGGAGAGTAACTGGGAAGCTAAAAACAGTAACCCATCTGGTGCAAATCTGGTAACTATTCTAGAGTGGTACCTAGTTTAACTTGAAATAGGTCTATAACTTGAAGAAAGTTACATCTCATATACTTTTGTTTCTCTCCTCAAATCAGGGATTCAGTCTCATCAATATGACATGCAACGACGCTATGGATTTGTGTCAACACTATTTTATTCTGCCCCTCTATAGTCACAAGGTCTTAGCAGGTAAGTAACACCGATGCTCAAATATGGTATGCATTAGACCTGATAGGGCAACAGGAAATCTGTCCATGGGTTTGATATTGTTAATTGTTGGATCGGTAACAGGCTTTGAGACGAAATTTACCTAGCTATACTGCCGTGATCAAGATGTGACCAACGGTGGCGATGTTACTAACCGTAATTGTTCAAGCGTGCTGTTTCATTGCCATTTACTTTAAGAATGACCACATTTCAATAACCATTTTTGTTTAAAGCTGTGTCTTTGCCATTTTAAATTGGCCATCAAATTGATTAAATAATTATTGAGCTGGTGAATGATCATATTCCAGCTTGACAAGTAAGTAACAAAATGACGCCTAGGTTCAAAGGGATAAGCGATTGTGGTGTGAACAATATGAAGTCAAATGTGCCTATGGCTAATACGTGAAAGATCTAAATGTATAAACCGCCAACAAGCTCTCAAAACGCCCTTGTGCATAATTGTTTAACGTTAAGCTCACGCATGTACATACTGCGATTATCATTTGCAGTTTTCGAATACACGAAGAACCCTTACAAACTCCAGGTCGGTGTTCGAGAAGGGATACAAAGCAGAGACTGGAGATTTTTCCAGGGTAAGTGCAGATTGGTTCCTTTACATTGACTTTGCTAAAAGACAGGCCTGCGTGGCAGGCTGTATTTGGATGGATCACAAAAAAGACCTGTGCAACCTCAACTGTAACGACCTGACTGCAGTGGCGTAGCCAGGAATTTTTCAGGGGGGGGGGGGGGGGCCGCTGGGGGGGGGGGCTGGGGGGGGGGGGGGGGGGGGGGGGGGGGGGGGAACATTTCATGGGGGGCGTCATGTGGGGGCGTCAATCGCTTCTCAAAAGTGGGGGGGGGGACATACCTTGATCAGAACTTAAGCGGGCCCCGAACCCCACGCCTATAGCTCAGAATACCGATAGCTGATTCAATGACTCCAACTCGAAAACGATGTTCAAATAATTATCTTTTGCTAAGAAAATATTAGTTAAAGCATGGAGGAAAGTGGTAAGAAATTGCTTCAGATCACACCAAAGAAAACCTAGAATCCATTTTTTTTCGGGGCCCTTAAGCGGGCCCCGAAAAAAGTTTTGGATTCTCGATGCTCTGTGGTGTGATCTGAGGCAATTTCTTACCACTTTAACCAATAATTATCTTAGCACAAAAGATAATAATTTAAACATAATTTTCGGAGTTTTCTCAGCTAAAGGCATACAAAATTTTTGGAACATTGTTTTCGAGGTTGGAGTCATTGAATCAGCTACCAGAATTCTGAGCTATAGACGTGGGGTTCGGGGCCCTCTTAAGGGCCCCGAAAAATTTTGGATTCTAAATGCTCTGTGGTGCTATCTGAGGCAATTTCTGACCACTTTAACCAAAATTTTCTAAGCAAAAGATACATTGTAGTACATAATAGGGCCCTGTAAATGAGACACGAGTTCAAAAATCTGGGGGGGGGGACATTTGATATTGTGTCCCCCACCCTTCAAAAAGTGGGGGGGGGGACCAGTCCCCCTGTCCACCCAGGATTGACGCCCATGGCGTCATGTAGATCAATGATAATTTTTTTAGAAACTCAAAATCTCAGTGGGGGGGGGGGGGGGGCGAGGGGGGCGACAAGGTTTCATGGGGGGGGGGGCTGTAGCCCCCCAGGCCCCCCCAGGCCCCCAGGTCCCACCCCCCAGGCCCCCCCCCCCCCCCCCCCCCCCCCCGTGGCTACGCCACTGATTTAAGGGAATTTTAATTGGTCTAATATTATTATTTTAGCTTTTATGATTGGAGGAAAAAGTTTGTGCGTGGCCGATTCGCGTGATATCGCTGACTGAAACTGTGTGACCCACGGACCACCTATCTAAAATACGTGTTCCGTGGTGTGAGCGAGCAGTGCAGTGGGTGTTAATACGCATTTTAGATTATCATTATGCGCTATGTCACGCCGGTTGTCAGCTTACTGGTCCGCGGTCGCCGGTCGAAGGGTCGTTTCTCAGTGGTCATCATGTGGATCATTCGCAACTATTTAGATTTAGATCAATGATAATTTTTTTTAGAAACTCAAAATCTCAGTGGGGGGGGGGGGGGCGACAAGGTTTCATGGGGGGGGGCGGTCGCGCCCCCCCCCACGCCCCCCACGCCCCCCCACGCCCCCCCCGGTGGCTACGCCACTGTCTGACTGAGAGTGTCTTTGTTAAAAGAGCAGCCTCGAATTTTGTCTCAATTTTGTGCCGTCATATCACCCTGTTACACTGTGTATAGTCCGATCATTCACCTGACCTTTCGGCAGTCGATTTTGAATTCCAAAGTCACGCTTGCGTCTTGTCAAAAGGCCTGGACTGGTTGATATAAACGCGACTTCCGATAGTAATAATTGACCCCAGATTTAATACCAATGGACCTTATTCACGAGTTAGGCATTTTTGTCGTGTTCCCTGAATGCATTTCACAAATTGTTATCTGTTGAATGGGATGGCGCCAGACCATTTATGCAGCCTTATTTTACTTTCATTTTTTTTTTAAACAATCTGTCTTAAAACATTAGGGAATATAAATAACAGATTTTAAATTATTCATTTAAGTAGACTTCAATTATTTATGTACTTGCTTTCATTTCACTTCGCAAGTTCCAAAAATGAAGATTTTACCTCACTTTCAATTCAACATGGCCGACTCGCGAATAAGGCCAATGAGGGCTACACTTCTTAATTTATCTTCATGATTTTGGAAGGAAACCACTTTTGTAAAGCTTATGGTTTGTGTTTTCGGCAGCAAGGCATTAGTATATGGACTATAAATCAGAAGATGCATGAGAAACCGAACCGCCACCCTGCATCATTGTCGGCTTAGAGTCTTCTTCCCTTTTTTTTCTGTCTCTAATTCCCAGACGACTGTGATGGGAAGTATCGATGGTGCGAATCCGTCGACTCTGAAGCGAGTTGGGACTACGACGAATCGTGGAGATACACGATTTGCTTCGAAAACTCCTTTGATGATATTTCGATACCCGAAGGATGCGCTAAGCCGCTTGCCGTCGTAACTTATGACAGTCATCATTACGATGACAAAGTGCGCGGTCAGCAGATGCTGCTCTGTCTGCCCTAGTTTGCATGGTTGTAATCAAATCATCACAGGTCATAGTAAGCAGGAATGTTGACCAAACATTCATGAGTCGAATTTAGGAATTCAACTTTATGAAACTATTATATCGCAGACTTCCTAAATCTTCTAGGATCTCGGGTTTTCCAACCAGCCCACCACATCCTTCCCGGATATACCTTTATGCTGCTGCCATATTTCAGTCATGTTCCCAGGCCCTGTATTCAATAACGGTACTGACTGGTAATATTTTTGTGCAAAAAGGAGCCAGACTATTTTCCTTCCAGCCTCGCTTTGATTACGTTGATTTGAATGGGAAAAATCAAGATGGCCGCAACATAATAATGGTCTATTGCCAATTGTCACAAGCGCATATAGGCTGCACCTATAAACCTTGGCTGCCGCGATCTACCAAACAAGCCCCAGTATACCTTTACGAAGATGCTAACCTAGACTTTGCGAATCGTCCCTAAAAGGAAGAGCTCACCAATCACGCAGAGTTACTTCTTCTATATCCTAAACCCCCAAACAGACTGTCTGCAACGTGTGATTGACTTGTGATTGACTATAGATTACGACTCTGCTGTTTGAAACGTTCAGCCCCAGCAGATAGACACGTCACATTTGCCGAGTTATGAAGGGGCCATACTATAGACCTTTATCATGCTGCCACCATTTCAGTCATGTTCCCTGTATCCAATAACAGTACTGACTGATAACGTTTTATGTGCAAAAAGGAACCAGCCTATTTTCCCCTTCCAGCCTCGCTTTTGGTTGATTTGAATGGGACAAAATCGAGATGGCCACAACATGATAATGGTCTTATTATTATTATTATTATTATAATTGCATAAGTGGGCAAGTTTTGGGAATTAAAGTGTACAGACGTTATGAAAACGATTAGGCTATACATGTACTTTAAAATAAGTTGTCAAACTTTTGCTGTTGTATTTAGTACGATTTCCATGTAGTTATTTCGGTATTTCACATCATTGTGGGTGGATGAAAGATAATCAGCACGTTGGATGGGTTCAGAGATGTTCATTACAGCATAATGACGTATGTACCGATACACAAGTCTATTCCATCTATTAAATTCCATCTTATTAACAAGTCTATTCATTTAATTTCAGTAGGCCTACATTTATTTTTAAAATAGTTCTATATAAAGTTCTGTATACAACTTACACTGTATACACCAGCACGCACCGGTATTTTACATGAGAGTAGCTTAGATATATATTGTTACTTATAACATATATAAGATTTGAGGCTTTGCATGGTGGAGCATCGGTATCGTTTCGGTTTGCGGTAACACCATGTGGTAATAACTACTGCTTAGAAGATATTTAGTTCTGAAAAGAACTTGTCCTGCTTATTATCAACTTCGCTAAGTAGTTTTTTGTTCTGATAAGAACAGTCCTGCTGTAAGTTCTAAACGAACTTGTCTTTGGTCTCAACGTTTCGACTAGCCTGCTCTAGTCATCGTCAAGTCTATTCCATCTATGAAATCTGACGATGACTAGAGCAGGCTAGTCGAAACGTTGAGACCAAAGACAAGTTCGTTTAGAACTTACAGCAGGACTGTTCTTATCAGAACAAAAAAACTACTTAGCGAAGTTGATAATAAGCAGGACAAGTTCTTTTCAGAACTAATATCTTCTAAGCAGTAGTTATTACCACATGGTGTTACCGCAAACCGAAACGATACTAATAACATATACGTATTGGATACTATTTTTTCATGCAACGTCCTCAAAAGAATTGGTACAAATTCTTGTTTCCTTTAATTGTTGAAGCATAGTTACCATGAAGTTCTTTCTTTCACAATCATCGTTATTTATATGTTTGTCATCATATTGCATCTATTCTTGTAAATTTTAAAATTGAAATTCATCAGTTAAAATTAATTCATCAAATCTAAATTAATTCGTGAATTTAAAATTAACTTGTCAAATTAAAATTAATTCATTAAATGTAATTAATTCATCAATAAAAATTAATAGACCTTTAATTTTTTTTATTAATATATACAGTTACACTTCTTCGGAGGTCAAACTCGATGTGTACAGTCGAACCCTGGTAATAAGTCTTTGTTTTTCTTTGTTTTCCTTTGTTTTTCCAATATTGTTAATACAAGGTACCTGTTATAACAAGGTAATTTGTAAAGTCCTATGGACCTTGTAATAAATATTGGTGTTCTCAATACTCGCCCGTCGGCGCCATTTTGTCATTCTTAAAGTATCAGTCACAGAAAATGTACTGCTATCATTCCCCCAAGTTTTGTTATCCATTCATATTGCGCGAGGAACGTTTTCAAATGACCGTTGAACGCCTATTCAGACGGAATTTCAAAAGATTCAGTTGTACGGTTTATACCCATGGTGTCTACCAAACTATCCGAAAATTAATTGCGAGTGTCCACCTTTGAACACACAAAAGGTCAACATGAACATTATTGCCTCACTCTCGGTGGTCAGACTGACAAGAGGACCCAACTGATACCTGGGCACGATGCCACATCCAATCATATTTTACTGTGAGTCTTTTCACGAGCTTTTTAAACGATTATGCATGATAGCCTATATACGTAGTGTTCATTGTTAAAGGAAGTTTGGTCTTCCGTTTCTTTCTTTTGCGTAATGTTATAATGTTAGCGTTCAGTCATCGTTAAAATTCAGTCATCGTTAAAATACATATATATCGTGGAGTTATTACTGTCACTACACTATAACTGTTTCATGATGGTATGCTGCCTTCGGTGTAGTTTTTCGGCCGTTTGGATTCTTGTATAACTGTATGGCGTACATATTGCTCTGCTTTGGTTGAATAACGCACAATATATCCATGTTATATCCAAACCGCTGCCGGATAATACTTCAGCACCTTTGTACACTTTGCTCAGAGGGAAGAACACTATCGGTGGAATATAACATTCAATATACCCAGAGTGAATGCTGTCAAAGGACTTACTTCTTCGAGTTAATTATTAGAAGATTTATTATTGTTGAATGTAAAATGGGGGATGAGGCGAGTTGTGATTTGTTTCGAGCCCTCAGCGTTTTAAAGTCAAACCTTTGGTATTATATATGGCTTGCAAATCAATCGTTACCTTACTATGAAATTAGTGATCTCTTCAAGACCAACCTTTCGTTCAAGTATGGTTCACTTTAATCATTCCAATGATAAATCCTTTGAATACAATTAGGTAATTTGACAGTACTCCGTATGGAAATGAAATTCACAAGTCTGCATAATTATTGTAGTGAAATTATGCAATTGACCTTTAATTATTGCTTTAGAGTGTCCAGTAGCCTCCAGATTGACACAGGGAACCGAGGAATTCCAACGATAAAGCCCTAAAACCACTTACCAAAATCAAGGTGGCACCGCGTTAACTATACGGTACACATGGTGTTCGTGCTCAATTTCATAGCCAGACATACTACAAACTGACCAGTCGCCACAATGCCCTGAAATCTGCTTTTATGTCCGATGCTTATCAGTTGAATGGAGAGTAACTGAAATGCTGAAAACAGCGATCCATCGAAAGCAAAAATGGTAACTACTCTCGTGCGGCATTTTGTCTAACTTTAAGTATACGTTCTGACATACTGTGTTTTGTTATACCTCAAATCGCTGCACTTCATGAACTTAACATCAAAAGTGCATTCCAGGTATAAACACTAATTACTCTTTGGCATTTGAATATTTATGCCTCTATACCTTGCACGATGCATTTAAGTGGTACTCAAGACAGTCATTGCTTGTTCGACAAATAAAAGACGTTTAGATTTAGTATTTGTGATGTTAAAAAACGATTTCGTATTGAATTCGACTATCAAGCAGTTACCTCTGACTTAACCTAAACCTATCGGTTAATAGACCAAGTCCTAATGACGTTATGGCTTTGTTTGCATATGCGCTTATTTCCTATGGGAGCGAAGTCGGGACGCCAGACAAAGTAGGGACCGTCTGACGCATAGGAAAGCGCACATGTAAAGAAAGCGTGACGTCATTAGGTCCCAGGCCTATTGAACTGTGGTCAGCGAAACACCATATGGATCACTTAACTATTCAATAACAAGTGTATTGAATAAAAGTATGGTAATTTGTGTTAAATTAACTGCAGGGCCTACTCGTAAGGCAACAAATTCATGTAATTATGCACTTATCTGCATAATCATCAAAGTGGATTATGCAGTTGATCTTTAATTATTGAATTTTAATGTACAGTATCTTTCAGTTCAGTAAACCTCCAGATGTGGACACATGGAAACGGATTAGTAGAACTCTCTGCTCTGGTCAGCGTGCCTTCGCCAAGGCAGCACCTGCCGTTTTTGAATAAAGGCTCCCTGTCCTGACTAGACAGTCGTGAAATAACATCCCTGGACATCTTGAAAAGAGAGTTGAAATCCCGTTAACTTCACTAGTTATTTCTCTCAGACTTCGAACTATTTGTCCGTGCTTGGTGTAGGCGCCTTGATCGTGTTTTTTGATAAGTGCTGTGATGCCTTCGAATTCAGTGAAAATCGAAGCTCATCACCACACAAACTTCACGTTATATAGTGGTAAACGTTATTACCATTTTGCAGTAGGAATACATGCAGTCATATCTGAGCTAGTGCTTCAGACTGCTCCCCCCTTCTTGATAGGATCCAACAACGAGCTATTAATTTGGTCGGACTGGACCAGGCATCACCCCTAGAACCTCAAGGTCTGTGGCAACCTCGTTCCCCATGGGTACGATCTCGCTGTGCGCCATGTTGGTTCCCATTACCGAGGCTGCCGTGCGCGATCCTGTTTGCTCCACAAACAAAAACTATACGTATTTTCTAGATTTTCTTAGACTAGTGTTTCCTTAAGCAGACCGGCAGCTGAACCCCTTTGAGAACATTCCAGATCTGCTCATGTTAAATGGACATATTTGGCGCGGTTTCCGAAGGAAGCTGTCCCCACACACACCAATCATGATTTAAACCGTAGTCGCTGCTAATTTACCTCCAATATGCATTGGGTTGTCATACAAACTCTTCTATGATTAACCGTTCTGTC